AAAAAAAAAAAAAAAAAAAAAAAAAAAAAGGGAACCATCTAGTACCAGATTTTGAAGTGCTTGACAGGCCAAGAGCCAGTCTGAGAGTAAACTGCCTATCGGCCTCGTACAACACATGCACAAGAGGCAAAACTTACCTCAGTCCTCGTATATTTCCATGTTCTAGCAGAAGATTCATTCTCATTCTGCAGATTTGGTCAATGGTGGACCGAGGCCCGATTTCGGGTGGGGTGGTCCTGTATTCGTTATGATCCTATTCCAGTCTGCTGTTTCCTTTTTTCTGTCTTAATACTTATGTGTTCCGGAGAATCCCCCACCTCTTACAGTCTATCGCGCTGTTAGATACAGACAGACAGATACAGACAGGAGGAGGAAGGAGCGATGGTGACGAGAGGATGAACGGCATCATGGCTATGTCTCCCATCCTAGCAAGTTTGCACTTGCTGACTTTGCTCACCGTTGCGAAGGTGGCAGCCGTGGCCATGGAGACGACTCCGACATCGATTGCTGCTATATGACAAAGATATGCTGGGGAGGGTCATTCACAGTGTCTGTTCTTGCGATGGCGACTGTCGTTCCAACACGATCTCAGACTGGCAGTGTGTGAATGTCTGGTGCAAGATCAAGCTCTGCAAGTGGGATTCGAAGTGCAGAGGACGTGGAAGGAAGTACTGCATGTCTGTGTGTGTGGGTCAAAGATGGTCACTGTAGGTCAGTGCTATGTTGGTCGTGCTGGCTGACTGACGGGAACAAGCTGATAGATGGACAAGAACAGATAAAATCACAGATGAACGCACAGAGGAACACAGAGATGAAAAAACAATTAAACAGTCAGACACACTGTTTGACAAGCAAGGGCAGGCTAAAGAACAGAAACGAGGGTTGGTGGACAGCAGGGCAGAAGGACACAGAAATAACAGGAAGACATGCAAAAGGGAGAACAAGGGGATATGTCTTTTGCCTCTTTCCCTTATCCTCCCCCCCTCTCTCTCTCTCCCCTTCGTCTCTCTCTCTCTGTCTCCTTTCCTCTCTCTCTCTTTTTCTATCTCCTCTTTTCTTCTCTCTCTCTCTCTGTTTTTCCGCTCTCTCCTTATTTCTGTCTCGGTTTCCTACGTGACGCAATTATTTCGATTGGTTTTGCTGTGGATGATTTTGTCCTAATCATCCTTTCGCGTCGTAACCACCGTAAGGATTAGATTACGGTAGTGTGGCTACGTTAGTTCGTGCTTGTCATTGGTCAACGTGGGCTACCTTCTGTCTTTTTCGAGTAGATTCTTTTCTTCCCCTCTATTTCTCCTCTGTTTTCTTTTCTTTTCTTTTTCTGTCATTTATCGCTTTCTCTAATCATGGCCGCGCCTCCTCCTAATGGTTGCTTTAATTGTGGCCAAACGGGCCACTGGTCTTGAGAATGTCCAGAGGCCGCCCGTGGCGACGGGGGCGAATGCTGAGCCAATTCTACCGACTCCGAACGTTCAACCTTCTGCTGCTCAGCCAGCACCTGTTAGCACGTATGCTGCGCAGCCCCGAACGGGATGGTGGACCCGTAACCAACAAATCTTGGATAAGTGTAACGCCTTCGTTAGCAAGGCGGAGCAGAAGGAACGGGAGGAACGTGCAGCGGAGGAACGTTTGAAGAATCAACGAGAAAAGGAAGAAGAGGCAGCTCGGATCAAGAAAGAGTGCGAAGATTTTGAGAACCAAATGGGGCAGCGATTGGAAAGTCGGCTTGCCCCCATGTATGATGCCATCATGGGGAAGGGCGTCAATAAGGTCGGCAGCAGCTCGGCCAGCGATGAATTTTGTTACTTCGACGTGAGAATGAAGAGATGCGTGCTAAGTATGGTATAATGGAGCAGTTGCCATCAACCAGCCTCATTGATCGATTGCAGAAGGAGAATGGGGAACTTAAGAAATTCGGCGAGGATCTGAAGTCTCGAATGGAGGGTGATCTGGCGGCACTCAAGTGGGAGATCCGGGATCTCAAGGAACACCATGAGTCAGCTTGGAGGGGCAACCTCACCAAGCAGATCGAGGAGCTGCGATCTCTGCGAAAACATAATGAGGAAACCGAGGAGGTTGCGCAGCTTTGGAGGAACGAGGCTCTCAGGCCTGGTAACAAGTGTGGTAGTATTAATGTTTCGACACCTGCAAGTGAAGGGCGTACGATGACTCGATCTAGGATGGAGGCTACTCCGGAGGAGACTCGGCGGTTACGAGCGGAATTACAGGAATTGCAGGAGCGTCGCCGCTGTGACCAGACCGAGGTCGACATGCTCAAGGAGCATCGGGCCAAGGCCGAAGCCAAGCGTATCGAGGCTGAAGCCGAGTTGACTCGGTTACGGGAACAAATGGACCAGTTTTCCACTGAACAGACGGGTGGTGGTACTCCACATGTGGTGGGTACGAATTTGAAAGAAAAGATGGAGGCGGCGGCAAGAACTGGGCTTCAAACTGGGAGGCGTGGACGTCCGAAGATGACACCGGGGAGACTACCAAGAGGTGACAGTGCCAGGAAAGCGAACGATCGGTTCGCTTTTGTGCAAGACGAGAAGAAGAGGCTCAAAGCTTAGAAGAAAGGAGGGTTGGAACCCTTGTGTAAGGAGGTCGGAATCAAATATAAGACAGTTGATATCACTGTGGATGAATTAGCTGAACTCAACGCCGAGCGAATGTTTGGTGGGAGCAGCAGTGCTGATGACAAGGCGGGCAGCAAACAGGACCGTGGTAAGTCAACTTCTGATGAGAGTGTGGTTGCGATCGTGGAGGAGGTTCCGTCGGATTCCTCTTGATGGGACTTCCGAAGCGTGACGTTGTGGGGTTTGGCGAGATCTTACCGTGACTATAGGTCTCTATCTGCCGCTTCTCTAAAAGATGGTGCTTGGAACTCGTTCTTTTAGGTGGTTGTGTTGAATTTGATCCTGCGTGGTTTGATTCCTTAGGCTGAGAAATTTCGTTCCTATGTTTTGTCTACGATCTATGAGGGTGGTGATCTCTTTCGCTGTAGAGGTCCTCTTGTCTACATCATCTTGTCTCCTTGGCACAAGCATGTATATGTAGGGTCGACCAGTAGGGCACTCGACGTGCGGTGGAATGAACATGTTTATCGAGCTTGTAACAGCACTGTTGTGGAACGTGCTAATAGGAACCATAGATTGTACAATTGGCTACGCCGTGGTGGATCGGAGCATTATGTGGCGCTTCCTCTGTTTCAGTGTGAATTGGTTGACTTACTAATTTTGGAGAAATGTATTATTAGAAGGACTGGTCCGTTTCTCAACAGCAGGGACAAACCTGCACGCCGGAAAAAACCTCGACCGGGTAAGCGTGAACGTGCAAACCGATGGCGAAGGCAGCATGGCTGCTCAGTGGTGGGACCGGTTAGGAGTCATACGGATCACATGCATTTGAGTTTCGTCACCTCTAATGGTGTTCGGTCGGCTAGCTTGCTTGGCTTGCTAGAGGATGCGAGGGCGTGCGGTAGGAAGGAGTTGACTGTGTGCTGTGTTGGAGGGGAGGTGTTTTTGGACAAGTGGAAGGTGCTACGAAGATGTTTCGGTGGTTCAATAGTTGATACGATTTTTGGTGCGGGTGTTTTGAAAAAATGTCGTGGTTGGTTAAAAAATGGAATCACGTTGCATTTTCGATCCATCTCGTACTATTGTTCGACCCTTCTATGTCAGAAACCTACTTTGATTGGTTTCCTGAAGGAGCCGGGACTCGTGCTCGACTGCTAAAGTGGGATTTGGATAAGCTTGTTGGACTCTTCTCGGCCGTCAGATGTTTTAAGGAAAAGCGGACTCGTAGTACACTGCGCTGTATTTTATCTGGGGCTATCAGGAGGCAATTCGGGATTAATGTCCGTACCCGACTTGTGGTGCGGATCACGTACGACGTGTGCCTCAGTAAATGTTCAATTAGGAATTTGTGCTGTGACCTTGTGCGCAAACTGGATATCCCGTGCGACCTGGGAAACATGGTGGCGAGAAGGATGAGGGTGGTTTGGGTTAAGAATCAGAGTGTTGGGGATATTCTGTTTAACTTCCGTGATGTTTCCCGGCAGACTGAGCATGCATGTGGTTGTACCGGTGATGATCGATCTTTTCCTTGCATTGACGGACATATCGGTTTTCGACTCGCTTCCTCCGAGTTTGTTCCACCCTTCTTGAGGAACTCCCGTAATATCCCTTGCCCCTCTCGTGCTGTTTCTCGTCGGAATTTGGCTCGGCAGATTACCACCTCCTTCAATCAATTGGCTTCGCTACCTAATCTGAACGAGGGGATGATTGGGAAATGTATGCTTGATTCATGTTTCAATAACACCAGGATCATCGATCGGGATCAGATGTCACCTATGGAGTGTGTCCTCGACTCGAAAACGAAACTTGGGGGCTTGGTCAGAGTACCGATTGACCATAATGCTGGGGACACATTGGTTTGTTGCCCTCTGATCTATAGAAAGAGTATGGAGAAGTTGTTTCTTAACAACCCTGGGTTTGTCGTCTGCCCGAACGAAGAGGAGGTTATCTCGAGGTCTGCGATCCGTTTTCGGGATGGAGGTTTTGGATACCTGGGAAAATGGAACAGTGCAGGAAATTTGGGACAGGCGTATTCTGTGCCGAAGCATAAGGACCAGGGTTGTCACGCGGGGGCCCCCGGGGGCAAAGCCGGGGTAGGGGTTTGACCCCCGGACCCCCGCCGTGGGGGTGCCCCATCCCCGCCCACCCCAAAACACCCCC